TACAGCAAGTATACGGGATTCATTTATTAAATAATCGGAGCTATTAAAAAATAAATCTTAACTCCAAAGCTAAATATTTTTGGTATTGTAAATTTTGGGCGCCACGTGCCGATAAAAATAATTGTTTATTTATAGTAAGTGATTGAATTACAAATATTATTGAAAGGAATGCTAAAAATGGCGCTAATCCACCTAATGAAAGAAGATTAAAAAATAAGAAAAATTTTATGCTTCATGGAAAAATAATGACAATAAAAAATAATAATCAGATATGTAGTTGTTCTATAGCGAAGGCTAGTCAAAATGAATCTTAACTGCAAAGCAAATAATGATTTTTTTTTAATATAGCAAATATTGGGCGCCACGATCTACCTCTACCACGATCTAGGATGGTTTGACGTCGCATCGATGTAATAAAATTCGATTATTTGTTCTGATATTAGAAACAATATTCCTAAAGTCTCACAGTTGCAGAGGTGCTGTAGAACCTCTGTACGGGATTCCTTTATTAAATATGTATTTGTTAGTATTTTAATGTAGTAAATATTGGGCGCCACGAGCTAAAACTGAAAATGTCAATAAAAATGATGATTGAATTACAAATATTTTTGAAAAGAATCCAAAAAAAATTGCGGTAATCCACCTAATGAAAGAAGATTAAAAAATAAGAAAAATGTAATGTGACTTACATTGGGCGCCATCATACACAATCACTTATTTAAATGTTTTGGGCGTCACATCATACAGGAAATGATTACAACATCCAAACTTTCAGTTCAAAACAGAGTCAATTGAATAAATTTTTTGCAAAAAACATCTAAAATGGCGCCCAAATGGATAGTACCGAAGTTAAAATGCCCATTCAGCAGGAAGTTCCTCAATTTTGCAAATGGATGTTCGATTACTACGCTCTTTTAAAGTATTTTGAATGTGACTCACGTTGGGCGCCATCATAACCAACGACTTATTTAAATGTTACGTAGTCGCTAAACCCCTGGAAGGAATTCAGGCCATATATTTACAAAAATCATTTAAAATGGCGCCCAAATAGATACTACCGAGGTTAAAATGCCCATTCAGTTGGAAGTTCCTCAATTTTGCAAATAGAATTTCGATTATTATGCTCTTTGAAGTATTTTGAATGCGGTTCATATTCAGCGCCATCATGCACAATCACTTATTTAATTTAATTTTTTTGTGGTCGCTAAACCTGGGGACAAATTCAGTCCAATATTGATAATGCAAAGATTTATATTGGGCGCCACAACAGAGGTTTCGATTCTGAGGAACTATTAACATTTTTCGGACACTTAGATCCGTAAAAAATTAAACGAAGATCCCAAGATGCCCAATACGTAGCAGTTTGGTTTATTCGCTCTTTAAAGTGTTCTCGAATATGACCCACATTGGGCGCCATCATACATTATCACATATTTGAATGTTACGTGGTCGCTAAACCCCTGGAACGAATCGAGAACGATTTACGTTGGGCGCCACGAAATGATTTCAGAGATTTGCCACTGGGGAAGTATGAACATTTTTCGGACACTTAGATCTTAAAAAAAAATATATTTTTTAATAAAAAAAAGAAAAGAGGCAAAATTTAAAAAAATTATAAACATAGGAGATTCTTTTCGCAGTAATGCGATGTCGATAGGTTGCCAATCGCTCCAATTTAGAGGTATAGGGATTTTAGTTGATAAGAAAAACATATAATATTGTGACGTCAAATTTAGATGTGTAAAAAAATCTACGCTTAAGAGTCTGATAATCTGTGAAAAGTATTTTTTAAAAAATCCAGGCTTCAGCGACGGATAGTCTGTGAATAATTGTCTATAAAATTAGCCACGTTTTAGGACTAGATAGTCTGTGAAAAATATTATCTGAAATATCCACGCTTAAGGGCCAAAAGTCTTTGAAAAATATTTTTTAAAAAAAGTTCAGGTTCAGGGTTAAATAGTCCGTGAAAAATATTTTCTTTAAAAAGTCTAGGTTTCAGTGGTGAAGTCCAGGTTTCTGGTGAAAAAATCCAGGGTTCAGTGACGGATAGTTTGTGAAAAATTTACTTTAAAAAAAAATCCACGTTTCAGGGAGGGAAATTCTGTGAAAAATAAGATTAAAGAAGTTCACGTTTCAAGACCGAATAGTCTGTGAAAATATTCTTTAAAAATGTACTCTTCAGGGCCGTGTAGTCTATAAAAAATATTCTTTAAAAAACCAAGGCTTCAGGACAGGAAAGTCTATGAAAGACATTCTTTAAAAAAATCGGGCTTCAGGACCGGAAAGTCTTTGAAACACATTCTTTAAAAAAAAAATCACGCTTCATGACCGGAAAGTCTATGAAACACATTCTTTAAAAATTTCCACGCTTCAGGGCCGGATAGACTGTGATAATGTTCTTAAAAATATCCAAGCTTCAGGGCCGGATAGACTCTGACAATGTTCTTAAAAATATCCACGCTTAGTCTGTGAAAATATTCTTAAAAATATCCACGCTTAATGGTCCAATAATCTGGGAAAATAATTTAATAAAAAGTCCACGCTTGATAGTCTGATAGCCCGTGTAAATAGCCTAAAAAAATCCACCATTAAGCCCCATTTAGTTCTGAAAAAATATTCTTAAAAATCTAAGCCAATGGGATCGATGAGCCATCAAAAATATTCGTTAAAATACGATTTCTCGCAATTTATTCTATTTCTGGGGACTTTTGCTTCATAAAAAATATGGCAACACAAATCAACAAGTGAATCAGCTGTTTTCTATCCCACAAACGATTTCTACAACCCTACTCTCTACCATTTCATTTTTCGATCTTTAATACCCTGCCCGCTTTTTGTTTTGATTTTTCGAGGAAGCGCAAAGGAGCTTTCTAGGTGTGCGAGAAAAATCCTTTCCTACTAACAGACAAATCGACACAAAATCCCACCTTTCCAAATGAATAATGAAGAAAGTGAAAAAGCGGACATCAAAGAAGATCCCCTGGAAGAAGAGCGGAATGGTATGGTACGCGAAGTTGGCAATCAAGCCGTTTGGAGTTTATCATCATGCAAACCGGGTTTTGGTGTAGAACGTTTACGTGATAATATTATGGATACATATTGGCAATCGGATGGCCAACTGCCACATTTGGTGAACATCCAATTTCATCGGAAAACGAATATCAGTCAAATTTACATCTATACCGATTATAAACTGGATGAAAGTTATACACCATCTAGGATCTCGATACGAGCGGGATCACATTTCAATGATTTGCAAGAGTTGCAAATTGTTGATTTAAATGAACCCACTGGTTAGTATTCTACACATTTATAGGGAATAGATTTTTAATGTTTCTTATTTTTTAGGTTGGGTTACCATACCCATAAAGGATGGCAGTGTCAAATGCATCCGCACCTTTATGCTGCAAATTGCTGTCATTTCAAATCATCAAAATGGCCGTGATACGCATATGCGCCAAATCCGCATACATGCCCCGGTGGAAGATCGCCACTATCCCTTGGAACTGTTTGGTAAATTCAGTACTGTAAATTTTCAAAAATTTGCCACATTACGTTAGGTTTTTTTGTATTAAGAGAGATGTATTTTTTTGTAAACGAATTTCAAATTATTTATTAAAAATAAAAAAGTTTTTGTAAAAATAAAAACATTTTAAATTTTATAATGCAAATACTTATACGAAAAAATCTCTCATAGCAGACCCAAAGGCTGTCAGAACCTTAGGCACGGATGTCTTAAAAGATATTTTTTACAGACTATCGGATCCTTAGGCGTGGATTTTACAGACTCTTAGGCGTGGATTTTTTCAAAGAATATTTTCCAGAGTCTGTCAGGCCCTTAGGCGTGGATTTATTAAATAATATTTTTTCAAGGGCCAACTGAGGCGTGGAGTTATTAAAGAATATTTTTCAAGGGCCAACTTAGGCGTGGATTTATTAAAGAATATTTTCCAAGGCCTTCCATAAGGCGTGGATTTATTAAAGAATATTTTCCAAGGCCTTCCATAAGGCGTGGATTTATTAAAGAATATTTTCCAGAGTCTGTCAGGCCTTTAGGCGTGGATTTATTAAAGAATATTTTCCAGAGTCTATCAGGCCTTTAGGCGTCTAATAGGAAAAGAGGAAATCCACCAATCGAGGACGATAAAGTCTTCTAATAGAAGACAAGGAAGTCTTCTAATAAAGTCTTCAAATAGAAGACAAGAAAGTCTTCTAATAGAAGACAAGGAAGTCTTCTAATAAAGTCTTCAAATAGAAGACAAGAAAGTATTTTAATAGAAGACAATAAAGTCTTCTAATAGAAGACAATAAAATATTCTAATAGAAGACGATAAAGTCTTCCAATAGAAGATGATAAAATCTTCTAATTAAAAACTTTGTCAATAGATGTCGAGAATGTGTTCTAGTAGTTGAGCGGTCTTCTAATATTAAATTATTAATTAAATATTGCATAATATTCTTTAATAAAACTTTTGATCTTTTTAATAGAAGACTAGTGAAATACTGCAAAATGTGGAATGGCTGTGGAAAGTATTTCTATAAAATATTATACTATTTAGTAATTAAAGAATCGCAAACATATTCTTTAATAGAAATTCCAATCTTTTTTAATTATTGTGTTGAAGCCTATTCAAAAAAGTGTTTTTAATAGTTTATGTTTTTCGTTATCACCCTGTATTTTATGTTCGTGTCATTTTACGATCTATTAAACCCTACCCATTGATGTTAAATTAAATAACATCTGTGTTTTTGTTTAAATAAATAACTATTAAGGAGGCAGCGGTATATAAAAATGATACAATTTAATTCCCTTTCGATTGCCTTCTCCCCCTTCATTTAAAAAATGTATTAATTTATTAATTTTAAGTTAAAATTCCTATTGAGTTCACGCAGTTCCATTCAGTGAACAGCTACGTTAGTTCATTCTAGAACAAAACACACTCGCCTCCTTTTGCAGTGTGATTGGATAACTCTGCCGAAAAAAGAAACAAAAAGAAAACATGAGCCGGCTTTTAAGGGCAGCTTGCAGTGTTGTTACTCCTCAATTGAGGAGTAACAGTCATCTGGTGCATAGAGGAATAAGGAATCTGTCCACTGGTATTACAACAAAGGTAATTTTAATTCAAAATTGAGTTGCAATTATGATGAAATTCAATGGCTTCTCTTCTTCTTTCGGTCCACAGTCATTACTTAAACCCAACACCTTTAAGGCTCCCATTATACGGATATGCCACAGTCAAAGTCAACAGATTGCCGTACAAGGAGAAAAGGCTGTGGGCAAATGGTTGATGGTTTGTGGTGGCATGGTTTATTTGGCTGTTGCCTTGGGTGGTGTTACCCGCCTCACCGAGTCGGGTTTATCAATGGTCACATGGAAATTGTTGGGTGAGAAATTTCCCACCACACAGGCTGAGTGGGAAGAGGAATTTAGGCTATATCAACAATATCCGGAATTTAAGATGTAAGTTAGAATTAAATTATTCAAATTTTTAGATATCGGAATAACCCTTTACCCTTTTAGGAAAAATCAAAACATGACTGTGGATGAATTTAGACGCATTTTCTGGATGGAGTACATACATCGCATGTGGGGTCGTGCCATTGGTGCAGTGTTCTTGCTGCCAGCCATTTACTTTTGGTCCAAGGGCCGTTTAAATTCCACCACCAAGAAATTTGTTTTACTTATGGGCTCCTTGATTGGAGCCCAAGGCCTAATGGGTTGGTACATGGTTAAATCGGGTTTGGAAAATCGTTTTGAAGATGTCAATGATGTGCCACGTGTATCACAACATCGTCTTGCTGCCCATTTGGGTGTTGCCTTTGTCCTTTACACTCTGTTCCTATCACAGGGCCTTAAGAAGCTGTTGCCCGCCGAACAGTTCCCCACAGCCAGTTTGAGTACATTGCGTTTTAAGCGATTTGCCTATGCTGCCAAGGGTTTAATTTTCCTGACAGCCTTCTCTGGGGCATTTGTAGCTGGTCTAGATGCTGGTTTGGTTTATAATTCATTCCCGAAAATGGGCGATAAATGGTTACCCGATGACCTGTTGGCATTCCAACCGATTAATAAGAATATTACCGAGAATCCTACAACGGTACAATTCAATCATCGCATTTTAGGTGTTACCACATTGACATTAGTCTCTGCCATGTGGTTGTTGTCGAGACGCACTAGATTACCCAAACGGGCCTATTGGGCCATGAATTCTGCCGCCTTGGTGGCATGGCTACAGGTCACTTTGGGTATTAGCACTTTGCTGAATCATGTCCCCGTGCATTTGGCTGCCGCCCATCAATCGGGTTCATTGTTGTTGCTCTCGTTTGCCGTTTGGCTTTGCCATGAAATGAGATATTTGAAGTACTTACCTAAATAGAGACCAGTGAGAAATAACGATAATTTATTTTGTAAAGTATTATAAGATGTAAAATGTAACGTATAATGTTTGTTAATGAATTTTGATTATATCAAAATTAGTGCGGCTATTTGTTTGTAAATAAATACAAATTAATGAAATTAATTTAAAGAATATGAAAATGTTGAATTCTGAATTCGAATAAAGTTGAAATGTATTTAAAATATATATAGCTATTTTTAATGAAGAAGATATTCTTTTATAAATCCATGCCTA